TTCCCTAAAGGGTAGCACAAGACTACTTTCATGCAAATTTTGAAATGCATTCCTAGTCATATGATATCATGATATTCCATGGGAATAAGACTGTTCCGAAGACCTGTTCTTGAGCATGGAGGAATAGCATATTTTTCCAACTGTTTCTCCTTCTCTTTGTTGGGTCTGGAAATCATTAAGTGAAGTCATGATATACTTCGATAGTTTGCCAGATTTTTTTAGTTCAATTTCTGTTTTTGTTCCATGGTGTAGAGTTTCTAGATAATTATGCTATGAGAAAGGTCCCCAATTGAAATGGGATCCCCAGACTGTACTTAGTTAATCCAACTTTGCAACATGGCCTGATTCAGCTGCGTTCAATTCTATGCCAAGCTCACAGTGAAAGGATCTGATGAACACTGTCAAAGTTCACTACTGGATACTTGACTGACTTACACAGGTCACAGTTTAGAAATGGACTGTTTTGCCCTGAAAGCTATCAAATAACATGACCATGACTATAAATATCATAAAAGCTGCAGTATCTTTTATGTTATATGGTAGCCAGGATGTCTCCAGCTCCTCTCACCATGGACTGATACACACCTCCTTACTGAGGTATTGGCTACTGGTAACACCAGATGGACTGGAAGGAGACATGGAAGTCCAGATGGCTTTTTGCAGGGCCCCCATGGTCTACCACCAATGGGTGCCCTGGAAGGAGGGCCACCCATTAGAACTAATGGAGGGAAGGGACAGGAGACAAGAGAAACCCTGTCACAGGGTTGAGCCACTGGAGATGAGCAATGCTAGGGTGGGTGTGAAGAATGAGAGGCCAGGGGCATAAAGGGGGGGATATGGGAAAGGCAGAATTGGCCAGGGGTTTAGAGAGCAAGTCTGAAAAGGGCGACTAGGCAGATAACCCAGGCCTGCCAACCCTAACTCTGATCTGCGGGACAATAGGATGGCCCATATCTATGCCCAGCAAGCCAACCTAGCTATTCCCAGCCTCTGAGCTCCTGAAGAATCAGCGACAGCTTACCCAGGCACAAAGATGCCGCTGGAGGTAGAGGACACAGACAGCATGCCTTCGGCAGCAAGTAGCTGCCATCACCAACTCTTGGGCCCAACCCTCAAAGGCTCAGGAAGGCACAGGACCAGACCCCCGGGTGAAGTGAACCTGAGGCACTGTGGCAGGAGGGTGAGGAGAACCACTCCCAGCACGGCTTTGATAGCCTCAGGTGTGAGCTGAAAGAAGGGTGGGTATGACCAGTAAGCCCCACACTTGTTTGATATGCGGGAATAATGCAAATAAAGGACTTCTATGTGTTCACCCCTCTGTAAGCTTCTTGTCAAAATATGCTGTTGTTTTTAATAAAGTACTCTTACCTGTACCTACTATACATCGCCCACTTTGCATAAAAACATTTAGGTTCCCAGTTAATCCCAGTGATTAAAAGTACAGGTATTGATTGTTATACCTGATCAAGAGATTTCAAGAGAATACCTTCCCCTCCTATGAACTCTCCTATACACCAGGTGTTTATAAACTCTAAATCCCATAATTCCTTACCATTGGCTAAATGCGAGCTAGACCTGATGGAGATTACTGACAGAAATCATCTGGACGGCTACAGATGTTCACTTAGGTTATGCTAAGCCTTTAGTTAACTAGATGCTACAGTAACCATGTTGTTATTTCCTAAATCATTATCCATAGGCAATTTATAGCAGGGCGCATCACCTACGATCCATTGGGTACAGTTGGCCTCATGGCCCTTTCAGATTTATAAGCACCTTTCCACAGAGCAATATTTGTGTGGCAAGTGTTTAGCATCATCCTTTGCCCTCACAATCCATAAAATGCCAACATTTGTCTTTAAGGGTCAACAACCATCAGAGTTCTGGCTTCAGATTACTAAAATAAATATGGGTAAATTCTGAATGTGCCCAGGACGTTCAAGGGAGAGATGGGGCAGGGAATCTGAGCAGCTGGTAAGCAATGCCCAATGTGGGAGGGTAGAAAAGGAACTGATGCATTTAGGTCAAAATGGAAATAAGTGGGAGAGCAAGCCCACTTTTAGCTTTGTAAGAAGTGCCAATAACATTCACCCATACCCACAACACAGACGACTGGGAGGGTGGTGAACAGAATGGAATGCTCAAGAACATACAAAGAGCCATGCTGGATCAACTCCAACAACTGCCTGCCCCAGCCAACCAGATGTTTATGGGATTTCCGCAATGACTCACCATTGCTCGCTTTATTCACCATGAAACTGTCCAGGGCACTTTTAAAGCTGTCCATCTTGGTAAACATCACCACATCTCCCATCACTGAGCACCGTGCGAAGATGAGAGCGGGAGACAATAGTAGTTGAGACAACTCAACTACTAGAGTGGCAGCAGCCAACACCAGAAGACAAGATATGGTACTGGGTACTGCTTTGTGGTTGCGTTTGTGTCCTGTTGTCTCCCCCTCTCATGGACCCTGGAGTCACCCAGCAAAGCTGAATGGCGGGGGATTCACGATAAAGGAAAGTGCTTCCTCACATGGTGCTTAATTATGTGAGAGGGTGGCACACCAAAGTCCAACCCCTTAAAAGCAGCTGATCCAGAGGAGCTTCACATTTCCACTTGTGGAAGTTAAGACAGCCCTCCCTGAGAGTTTTGAAACCCCAGAAAATAGGAGTTCCCTCTGAAGTCTAGGGAGCAACTCAGCAAAGAAGAAACCTAAGGATTTTTCCAATGAGAGCATTCTCCTGCAATGAGCTGGTTCTGCCTCTAGGATTACCACACATTGAACAGACGCCGTGGCAAGCAGGAGGGAGCCTGGGAATCAGCAGCGTCCAAGCCATGTCCCAGATCTGCAGCTTGGCCTGGGAATTATCCCATAAACTAAAAATATTCTTAGGATTTATGAAGCACGTACTTTCTGAACGACTGTATCATGTAACTAGCTAATCCCTTACCAAGAAGACGCTGGTGCTTTCACCGAAAACAAAGTTTCCGCTGTCCGTAGCCACCTCTTGAATCCAGCTCATTTTAAATGCAAGAACAAACTCTTGGGGGAAAGGGAGCAGTATCTGGCTACAATCACACCATAAAATAGTTCACATCCTGGCCTGCCAAGTTATCCTCCCTTGTTTAGTCAGAAACTTCTCTCTGTGTAAAATACATTAGAAAACATGTTGCACAATGCAACACCACTGGCTTTCCCCCAGGGTTTTTCATAATAAAAGCAGACAAATGGCATGTACGAACCCAGCTTCTTCAAACATCTCATTTGAGGTGTGATTTCAAATTTACAGCAAAAAAAGAGCATGCACTCTAGGTTCTATTTTCTTTTTTAACAAAACTGATGTTGTGGCAGTAATCCCATCCGTCCTTAACTGGAATAAACACCACCGAATACAGTGGGAATACAGTGGAGGAAGGACCCCTGAAGATCGCTCTCTAAAGTCCCACTGGGAACTCGATGGCATTTCATGTAAAACCGCATCATTGTACAGGATTGTGCCAGGTGTTTCCACCGTGGCCTTGTCTCCCCATTTCAAAGCCACCCTTCCTAAATTGTGCCCTGCTGCAATTTGCACCCTAGTTTTGAGTTTACTGCTGCAGATTACATAAAAGCGCCCCCTGCATGGATGTTTGTAAAATGTATTAAAGTAGGAAAAAATCCTTTTCTTCCTTTTGCAGAAGGACTTTGACTCGGTTCACAGCTGGCCACATACCCAGCACTTGGCTGCAGGCTGTAGAAAAGGGAATATATACCAAAGTAATTCTATTTGTCCCGTCCAGTAATTTCCAGATGATAGTCTTAAACACATCTTATTCTCTGGATCAGGTATTCCTCGTGGTCATCTGGATTTAATGAAATACTGCACAGATGTGCCAGAAATGGCACCAAATCTATACATCATTTTTATCCAATACAGATGGTTGTAAGGAAAGCCCCTCGCTGATGCCTCCCGAGTCTAGCCGGAACAAATTAAGACAGCTGGATCCCGCTGGGTGTTAGCTACACTCCCCCTGTAAGAAACCATCCAGAAAGTTACACTCGAACTAATATGAATTGGAAATATTATACGTAGGCGAACTGGAATCCTTTGTCATGCCACGAAGACAAAGTACCAAGCCTCCCGGCTTCCTGTCCTCAAAACACACCAGGCAGCAAAATGCCAATGTTCAGATAAAGTCAGAAGAACGGAGCGCAGGCGACAAGTCTGGATTCCGTCAAGAGAAGTCACTGGGGTTGACAAGAGGAAAGGGTCACTTGGAGAAAGATGCAAAGGGGGTGGGAGGAGGAGACGGGGGGGGGAGCAAAGAGAGAAGAGAAGAAAATGCTCTGCGGATCCCCTCCAGCAAGGAGTTGAGTAAAACAGATGGAGTTCAAGCAGGACAGAAGGACTCCACCCTTCCAAGAGCTTGTGTTTACTTCTTTCTCTCTCTCTCTCTCTCGCTCGCTCGCTCACTCTTCCTTTTTCTTTTTTAGCTCAGGATGTTCAAGCGCTTCTCCAGACACAGCATTTCATCTCGACCACTAGATCTGCTGCTAACAATAAGCAGAGTAACAATAACGGTTCTCAAGAACTTTCCACTGCGCGCAGAGATGTCGGCTGGCAGCAACGTTTACTCCCAATGGCTCCATATGGATCTCCCTCCTTCTCTCTCAAATTCTACACATACACACACACACACGCATACGTTTTCCCACCATTTTATAGTTCTTTTCTTCTTATGTCTTCACAACAATGCAAAACAAAAACAAAACCTCCAGCTTTCTAAACCCGCTCTCTTTCCGCCTCTTGTCCAGACTCCTCGCCCCCCTTCCCGTCCATGGCACCTCTCTCTCACTCACTCACTCACTCACTCACTCACACACACACACACACACACACTCGCTCCCCGACCCCCCCCCTCTGAGGCGCGGGCGCAGCATCCTGCCCTCCTCGGGCCCGCTTTGACGCCGAACTCTGCCAGGGACCCGCAGGTTAAAGCCACCACCACAAGGGACTCACCCCCCTCGAACTCGTCCTCCTCTTGCGTCCGTAGGCTTCCCAAATGCCCAAAGAGAGCAAGCAGGACGAGAAGGGCTCTGCTCGGGCTCCAACTGGCCATCGCGTCTAGATGCTAGACATGGAAGGGGGGGCTCCTCCCGGACAAGAAAAAGGCGCCACAAAAGTGTGGGAAAGGGGGAAAAAACCCCAAAAAAGAAGAGAGGAGCTCTATTCGGACCCCATGAAAGCAGCTCGTCTACTTTCCAGCGCTCGTTCTGGACCAGGCGGGAAAAGGCAAGGTCGAGGCTCCCCCGGCGGCTCGCTCTCTTTTGCTTTCTCTTTCCCGCGGGCGAGCGTTTTCCTTCCCAGCCGGCGAAGCCTTGTTGTTTCCCCCCCACCCTCCGCCCCACCTCGCCCCACAAGTGATGCGGCTTTAAATAGGGCGGCGGCCTCCCCTTCTTTTCCTGCCCCCTTCCAACTCCTGCCGGCTCCGGACCATCCAGTCTCTGGCAAGCCGGAGCGTGATTGAGAGTAAACACTCGAATCAGGACGGGCTTCCCTCTCCCTTCAAACTTTTCCTTCTTCTTTCCTTTTTTTTTTTCCGGGGGGGAGGGCACAAGGCTTTTTTTTAGAAGAGGTTTTCCTTCCCGCCCCTCCTCGCTTGTTTCTTTCTTTTTCCTTCTCTGTTGTAGTTCAATTTTTAAAAAAACACGGGGTTTTTGGTGTTTTTTTTCCCAGATGAAGAGTTCCTTGGGAGCAGAAGAGGGTTGGCGAGGGGAGATGATTCTCCCACTCACTCGCCTGGAAGCTGTGAAGAGGACAAGATGCTACAGCACTCTTTTCATATATAGTCACGGGCCAGAGGAAGGGAACCTCGGACCCCCCCCCCTTCCAAGCTTCTGGGAGGAGGTGTCTCCCTTCTCTGTTAATGCCTGCTTGGGAATTTAACCATTTCCCTTCCCTGTGGGTTGCTCAGCTCGGGGAGGCAAGGGGAAACTTTGGCCCTCCAGATGTTGATGAGCTATGTAGTCCCATCTGGCCTCTGCCAGGCTGACTAGGGCTAATGGGCACTGGAGTTCAGCCACATGTGGAGAGGGCCATGGAAGAACCTCCCTCCCCGGCTCTAAGGTTACCCTGGTCTACTTGGTGACAGAAAAGCTACCACGGTGCCTTCAGGCAGCTGCATCTCGTGGGCTTCTGTGCCTGGAGGAGGCACCTTAACCCCGTGCCAGTGGTTCCCAAACTTAAGTCTTCAGGAGCAGTCAGACAGTAGCCTCTGAATCTCTAACCAAGTAGGACAGGAAGGATGCAAACATCGTCAAACTGTATAAGAACAAAGGCGACACACTGCAGTAACTACCGTGGCATCTCTCTTCTCAGCGTTGTAGGGAAGCTGCTTGCCCGTGTTGTGCTGAAGAGGCTCCAGGTGCTTGCAGACAGAGTCTATCCAGAATCACAGTGTGGATTTCGAGCTAATAGATCCACCACCGACATGGTATTTTCCCTCTGACAGTTACAGGAGAAATGCAGGGAACAGCCACTCTTTGTGGCCTTCATAGACCTCACAAAAGCATTTGACTTGGTTAGCAGGGACGGCCTTTTTAAAATACTTCCCAAGATTGGATGTCCACCTCAACTCCTTAACATCATCAGATCCTTTCATGAGCGTTACTGCCTTCGGGAGAGTCGCCTCTGATACCTGCCGTCCCTCAGGCACTGGATGAGAGACAGTGTCCTGGGGGAATTTCTGACCTGGACTCCCTTGGCCTGCAGGACTAGGCCCCTGCTGCTGCTTCGGGCTGCCCCACCCCTTCTTCAACACCAGCCACCTGGCTTGGAGGGGAGGGAGGCTGTAAAAGCCAGAAGCTTGTGCCAGGGACCTGCTGGACATAAATGCCATGGTGCAGAGCAACTGTCCCCCAGCACCACCCTCTGGACACTGTCAATACTGTCCCCCATGCTGTTTAACATCTACATGAAACCGCTGGGGGAGGTTATCAGGAGGTTTGGGCTGAGGATTCAGCAATATGCTGACGATACTCAGCTCTACCTCTCGTTTTCCACCAATCCAGGTGAGGCAGTTTCTGTGCTGAACTCGTGTCTGGACCTGATAATGGACTGGATGAGGGTTAATAAATTGAAACTCAATCCAGACAAGACGGAAGTGCTGTTAGTGGGTGCTTCACCGGACAGTCCCCTTCTCTGCCTCCTCAGCCAATCAGCACCTCAGCAGGCCCAGTTTGCTTGCTTTTCCCACCTCCTCAGCTAATCTCCCAGTCAGGAGCAGGAGCCCAGACTTCTCGGCCCCGCCCTTTCTCTGAGTGGCAGATCAGCCAAGAGGGCGGGGCAGAGAAGCCTGAGCTGCTGCCAGGCCTGGAAGATCATCAGTTGAGGAGGTGCTGGAATCTGGCACGCTGAGGCTCGTGAGTGGCTGATTGAGCCAGAGGAGATGGGGAAAGGGATCAGCACCTGTGCTGCTGCCTGGACAAACTGGGACAAACTGGGATGAACTGGTTCATGCCCACCTCTGCTTCAGAATCTTCTACTATAAACAGATAGATTCCCTGGAACACAAAATCAATTTGGAAATAATTCTGTGGAGCTAAAAGACCTGAAAACCACAGCTTTGCAATTCTAGCATCATCCAGTCCTGACTGGCTCATGCTTTTCAAAGCTCTTTCCAAACTGGCCAATAGGTCCAAACGTTATTTCACATCAGAGAGAATGACCAGACTCCCATTGGCTTTAAGTGCAATGGTGGAAATCGTAGTGGGGAATTATTAAGTGAACCTATGGCACGTGTACCACAGCTGGCACACAGAGCCCCCTCTGCACGCACACGAGCCATAAGTTGCCATTGAGAAATACTTGTCCTCTGATCCTGGATTTTGGCACTCCCCTCTGCTGGTGCAGCAGAGGGGTGCAATGGCGACCATTACCAGTCTAGCCCAATGGGGGACTGGAGGACCATTAAGGATTTCTTTGTTAATACCACCCATGGGGGGGGGCACAAGCATTTAACCCTTGCAGTGCAGGAGCAGTTGTTTTTTCTAAGCTAAAACCTCAGCATTCAGGTTTTAATTGCAGTATTGGCACTTTGAAATAAATAAGTTGCTTTTGTGCTGCACTTTGGGCACTAGGGCTCAAAAAGGTTCCCCATCACTGCCCCTAGTCTCCCAAGACTGAAGGATGCCTAAGCTATGCCCTGTTGGGGCAAGCAGGGAGGTGAGGTCCAGCTACCTCTGAGAACCACTGCTTTGTGCCTTCTCTGGAAAATGACCCAGCAGCAAGTTACAACTTGGACCCTTATAGCATACATGATACTGACATTTCATGTGATCACTGCACATATTGTCCTGCTCCGAGTCTGTCTGCAACAAAAAAATGTATTAGCTAATGCTGGCCTCCAGGTTTCTTCTCCCTCATCTGTCATGTTCAGTAGGCTTCATTGTCTTAGGCTGCTCAGCTCTAGCTAAAGAGAAGCCTCCAAAGCAGTAGATATATGTATATATTCAGAACTGGTTTAATGGGTCCTCATTGAAAAGAAAGCATATTCTTTTCAAAGCCACCAGCATATACATAGCCTTTTCTGACCATTGGGCAGCCCTGCTTAAGCTGTACCCTAGGTTCACACTGGTTCAAGGACATCCTTGGCTAAAGGTTCTCCAGAGGTAACAGTGCCCAGTGAATGCCAGCAGCAGGCCCGGATCAGTGCCAGGTATGGCTCAGGGCATTTTCACTTCCCACCAGGACCTTGATTTAAAGCAATATGTGGAAACTCAGTTTTTGAAATGCACACGTATAGACCCAAGATTCTCAAAAGTAGCTAGATATCACCACAGTCACAAACAAATCACAATTCTTCACCTGCCTATTTCTTAAAGTAGTTACTGTTTAGTTAATTTTTTTGGGGGGGGGGGAATAGATCTGAACTTCACAAGTCACTGGCCTGTGGTCGTCTTCTTTGTGTCAAAAGACATTCACTGGGGCCTCCATAGTGGAAGGATCAGCCAGCAGGGCGCTCTTGAAATATAAGGGACATATGTGGTCGTTAGTGTAATCCAAACTTAAGGCAGGTGTCACTGTGGCCAGAACAGGCCTTTCTGAGAACAGGCACGTATACATTAGTTCTTAGGTATTCTATACTACTCAGGTTAATTATGCAAGTCAATTATGCATTAATTATGCACAGAATTAACAACACAGATATTTTGTCATATTCTGTTCCATTTCAAGTGTACACTTAAGCCCATGTTTTGGGGTGTGGTGTTTATTTGATCCTTTTTGTATTGGTATGCTCACTGCTGTTCACTTCAAATGCTGTCTTTTAATGAGGTAAGCCACCTTGGCTCCTTTTTTAAAGGAGAAAGGTGGGGTAAAATATTTTAAATGAAATAAATAAATAAACATCTCACAGCAAGATCACAGTAAATTAAATGCTGTTTGTAACAAAAAAATATTACAGATACATAATGAAATCTTTTGGGGATTCAGGGTTAATAATGCATATGCATCAGGGAATTCTAATCTGGGGAATATTTGTTTATTTTGGCACAACAATATCGTTGCACTGCTAACAGGCAGATTTATTAGAGGTATTTTAGCCAAAGGAAAGGAAAGGAAATCAGAAAGTGCTTTTAAATTAAAGAAAATTACATCATCCATTTTATTTGTTGGAAGAATTTTGCTTAGCATGTTGGAGCATTCTGGCCTTTATAGAGTACAATGAAAGAATTGTTTAATCATTATTTATTAATAATTATTGATTAGTTTATTGATTATTATTAATAATTCTCATTATTGAGAAAAAATTGATACAATGTTAGCCCTATTTTGACTAAAATCATTTATACTAATGAGATTTTTGTTAGCTGTGACTTTATTTCAGGGGGTCTGTTGGAGATGAGATCCATGTTCTATTTAGTCCTTTTGCCATTTATTCATAAAAAATATATTTATTTCATTACTAATTTGTTACAACTATATTTAGTTTGTTACTCTTGTTCATCTTTGAGGTTTCTGTGTCTCTTTTTTTTTTCTTAATTTGTCCCCTATTACTGGTATCATTGGTAGAAAGATGACATGAAAAAAGAAGAAAGAAGGATAGCAGCTGTCAGCAACCCTGGAAAGTTCAGGTCCTGCTGCCATATTGGAAGTAGGTATGCCCCTCCCCCAATGCCTCTGTGCTGACAGTTTTGGGACAAACAGAAACTGAACCAAATGAGCCAATCCGTCATCCACAATTCTCATTCACTCTACTGTTGTTGACAATACATCAGATTAGGGACACATGTTTTTCAGGTTGAGGCAGGGATGTTGGCAAGTCCTTGGGTCCAAGTCCCAAGTCCAAGTCTTTGATACCAAGTCCTGAGACCCAAGACAGAAGACCCTATTAAAAACAAGTCCCCCCCCAGAAAAAAGGGAGGGGTGGGTGGACTCCAAGTTGTGAGTTGAGTCCGAGTCATTGAAAAACAAAATCAAGTCTGAGTCGAGTCACCCATGCGACTTAAGTCTGACTTGACAGCAAGTCCCACAACTCGAGTCCCCACCTCTGGGTTAAGGGTCATATTGGCGGTTGAGGGCCATATTGTTTGCTGAGGAACCTGTGAAGGGACATATCCAGAGCCAATGGGGTCCATTGGGCTAAATTCAATTGTTAGGCCGAACCAGAACAGACCCACGGAATCAATGGAATTTTGGTAGGGCAACACTTCTATAAAAATCCATTTATGGAATGGTAATTAGGACTAACAGTTGGAGGTAGTTATTTATCTGGAGTTTTCTTTGCCTTGTACAAAAGAGGGAAAAAATGGAAATGAATTCCCTGATTTATGACATAATTTTATCTGACCTGTTAAATACCATTCAT